GGAAATGACAGCATCCATAATTCACTCACAGGCTTGAAGCAGAGGTGAAAGAGGCTAACTCCAAGTTTAGAGGTGGTCAGTGAAGCACTGAGGGTTCTTTCAGACCTACTTATTGAAAGTATCACATTACATTAAGGCTCAAGTTGAGGAACAAGTAGTCAGATGGACAAGTCTGTTTGTAAATGGTAAAATGAGTGAAAAACATTGCCAAAACAAACTGACGTTTGGTTCAGCGGGGTCACTCTGAGACCAGAACAAAGTGGTGAAGCAAAGTGTATTTTACTGAGGGCTTTTATATTTAGAAGAGACAGAATGAATGGAAGGAGACGAGCTCTACATTACAGAGAAGAACTCGTGTTTTCATTAAGACCAAATACGTGGTTAGAACTGGCAGGACAGAAACAAAATGAGTGAAGGATTGAAGTTGACAGAAAAATAGAGGCTTGAATGGAGAAGTAAGGAAGAAACATCATTTGTAAATAAGCTTGTAGTGAATGAGAAGAGAGGTTCAAACATGGCTGTTAACACATGCTGGAATTAAGACTGAAAATTAATTCTGTGTTTGTTTGTTTTTTACTCTGCAGCAGTAAAACAAAGTGATGAGAATAATTAGAATAAAGTTTGTGTTGACTGGACTGACAGGTTCTGTAAAATTCATAACATGCACTGTCAGTGGTTTTTACTGAGTTGTCCTGAACTTACACTGTGATATTTTCACTGTGAGCTTTGGGTTATTGTCATGTTGAGGGTGTGAGCTTTGCGGAATCCTGACCAGTCTCTCAGTCCCTGCTGCTGAAAACCACTCCCACAGCATGATGCTGCCTCCACCATGCTTCACTGTGGGGATGGTATCTGATTTCCTTCAGATTTAATATTTAAAACTGAGACCAACCCAATCAGTCTTGGTTTTATCAGACCAGAGAATCTTGAGAGTCCTTGGGAATCACACTTTATTAATTTAAATCAGGTGTGTTGGAGCAGATTTCAAATGTTTAAAACCAAAGAGACACTCTACAATAAAGCCCAGATTGGTGGAATCCTGCAGTTTTGATTGTCCTCCAGGAATTTAGTTTGATCTCCACACAGGATTACTAAAGCTCAGTCAGAGGGACCATTAAGTTAGACCCTTCTTGCTGTACCCCTCAGTGTGGTTGGACAACCAGATCTGTACTCTTGGAAGAGTTCTGGTTGTGTGAATTTCTTTGAGAAGTTTCAGTTCAGCAGAGCTTCCATCTGATTTGTGTCTCTCTAAATGAATTCAGTCTATTTACCTGTTTTACCTTTATGTTTGATTGCAACTCTTTTCTGGTTTTAACATCATAGTATGTAAACTATCTTGAAATTTCCTTGTGAAACATTAAGTTCCCTGTCATCATTAATAAAACAAAGGTTATTGATTATTTCATAAAGTCATTTAGTCATAATCTCTTTTCCTGAGCTCTAACATATAAAGCTGTTGTGGCACAGTTCAATCAGAGTTTTGGCCCTAATTCTGCTGTCCGACCAAACAGGTTTAGGGTAAAGTTTAGGTCTAACAGAGAACATTAATGTGCTCCGAGCTGTTTTGAGTCTTTATAAGATCAGTGTCTAGTATCAGATCATTAATCCATCATCAGGCTGTCTGATTGGTAAACTAGCTGGTGTTTTGGCTGGATGATGCAAAGGCTAAAGAAGGTGTTCCAGCAAGTTAAACTTCGCCTCCTTCCATTAACGCTCCCAGATGACTTAAACCACATCAACACATGGAGAGRCTGAGGGGACAGGGGAAATAAAGTCTGGCAAGAGACCAAGAACTGCAACACGRAGCAGACAGAAAAATAATAATAAAAAGAAAATCCAGACTGAATATTTCCTCTGATGACAAGCATGAAGGAGAAACTACATGATWGCTACAGTTTCAGAGAATAAGAGGCAGAGCAGGTCTGTCAGAAGGGCTCTGCTTCTAAAATGAACTGTCTTCACTACATTTGTTGCAGCTTTTGAAGAGCCAAACCCAGCAGATAATAAATGCTTACATGATCTCCTGCTCATCGTCCGCTGGACTGGGAGAGTTGTAACGGGCTGTCGTAGTGCAAATCTCCTGGAAATGAGAAGAAAGGGATGAACTTGGGCAGAAAAGAAGGGAAAAAGAATAAAACCACTGTTTTTCACAATTATTTAGGGAATAATAATCTGTTCAGTCACAGAGAACCAGTTCTACAATGATTACTAGTTTAATTTCATCAGATGAGACTGGTGAAAGAAGGGAGACAAAATGTGTGAAGAAWTRAAAAAATGTAACACTTTGAAACTTTTTCCTGTTTCATTTCATCTTGTGATTTTTGGTGCATATTTTTACTTTATTTTTTATGATGTTAAAAAGCTGCAGCAGGGCTCAGAACACTCCATCGGCTGTCCAAARTGGATCAGTACCAGAACTATTATTTTCTGTCATTACTCAGAGTCAGACACTGTGTGGAAATCCAGACTRGTTTTGGCCGTGACAATAAAGCTAAAGAGGATGAGAAAGAAGAAGACTGTGAAACCTCTGTGACAGTCAGACCAGGCTTATGAAGAGGAATCTGTAAACAGGACAGGTGGTTCTAGTCGGAGCAGGTTCTTACCTCTCCTGGAACTGTTTGGACGGGATCARGCCAGCACGAGGGTTGGCGTCCCCCTCATGTTTGGCCTGCCACCACGTGGCGTCCTCTTGGCTCATGATCTGAAGGATGGAGCCCTTCTTGAAGTCCAGTCCAGCTTCCTTACATGGGATGGAGCTGTCTTTTTTAGGGTCATTGTCAAAGAGGGCTTTCAAAAACACCTAGATGTGTTAATGGTGGAAAAATGAGAAACAACAACAAAAGTAAAAGATCATTACAGTTTACCCAAAAACACTAAATTACTGTCACTGACATCTACTGGATGGGCTTTACTGAACGTTAGGGTGATTATTCTGGAAAGTTCTGGATAATCAGATGCTGAAACCTGAATGTTTAGGCCAACTTAGTCTCTTTATAACATTTTTTAACTCTGACAGTGAACCAGAACAAGCAAGAACTGCTTACTGTGCAGATGTTAGTCATTGTTCCACAGTGAGGAATAAGGTAAGAAAGAGAAAGTTTGTTTTCTTTGTTTTACTTTCACCTTTAACCATTTCCCAAACAGCCAAAGTGATTTTTATTTTTCTGTCATGAGGGGAAATCTGTAACCTGAGTTCCCTCGTTGGGTTTTCTGTTTGATTTAAGTTCTGACATGTTGAATTATCACTCCTGAGACACTTCAGTACATGTGGACAGACCAAAAAAGGTCAATGGAGAGTGTTTGTGTCTGCAAAAAACTATTAAAAAAGGGAGGGAACGTTAAATGTCTTGAGTGTTCTTTTGATTTAAAGAGTGTTTTGTATTCTGCAGTGACTTTCACTTTCAGCAGACATGTTTTGTTTGGACCATAACAGATGCTTTGGCTGCTAAACTCTTCAGCAGCTTAAACACAAACATCTACACAACAAAATGTGAGGATTTTCTTCCTTCGGCTTGTTTTATTTTGACATGTACATGTTCAGCTACTTAATTGCACTTTCATGAATCAGCAGCACAAGTGGGCCAAAGTATGAGTTTAAAAAGTGTGTGTGTGTGTGTGTGTATATATATATATATATATA